ATACTTGGGAATTTTTGAGTGGATGCCACACTTTATGAATTTTACCTTGTTGGAGGCTGGATATTTTGTATTTCTAAAAATATTCTTGAGCCTTGTCCTGGGATGTGACTAAGTTACTTGGAAATAGTTTTGATTCTTTTGAGTCTTACTTTTATGATTTTTTTTTTTTTTTTGAGACAGAATCTCACCCTATCACCGTCGACAGAGTGCTGTGGCTCACAGCAACCTCCAACTCCCGGGCCTAGGTGATTCTCCTGCCTCAGCCTCCTGAGTAGCTGGGACCACAGACACCCGCCACAATGCCTGGCCACCCCTTGTTGCAGTTTGGCTGGGGCCAGGCTTGAACCTGCCACCCTTGGTACAGGGGGCCGGCGCCCCACCCACTGAGCCGCAGGTGCCGACCCCTTGCTTTTATGATTTTTCAGTAGGATTATAATAGTGCTCAGTTTTTTAATGACATATGGACTGAGTTGATCCCATTCTGGGCGCTTTACCCAATCTGCCTGTCACTAGTTAGGTTTTCCGGTCTGGCTGTTGGCAGCAGGCGATATCATATAGGCCCTGAGTGAGAGCTGAAGACTGTAATGTCTAATTTGGGGGTATGGTTCTATTCTTAGCCATGGATCACTTCCACATTGATTTGTGCTGTTAAGTGCTCAGTCGAGTTCTTGAGAGGGGTCCAGAGCTCTCTGTGTCCTCTGCTCTGCAAGATCTAGCTGCTTTGGTCTCCTTGGGTTCTCTGCTATCTCTTCAACCCAGGGAAGCCATTAGGCTCCTCCTGTGGTTCCCCTCTCTGTGCCCCGGCTGGGAAACTCTCACAAGGGAGTAACCTGGGGGAACCACAGGGCTCCCTTCAGTTGTTTCCTTTCTCTTAGGGATGACTGCCCTTTATTGCCTAATGTTCAGAGTCTTGAAAACTGTTGTGTCATATATTTTTTCTGACCCTGGTTATTTTATTCTGGAGGACATATCTCATCCTCGGTAGCCCATATTGGCCAAGAGGAAAAGTGTATGTTTCTTAACTTAACTGATGTAGCAGGAACCTGGTCTGAGCGATGGAAGTAGAAAGAGGGGGGATAAAGTTCAGGGACCATTCATAGACTATTCATGTAAAATTTATTCATTGAGCACCTACCATGTGCCAGGCACAGAGACAAGATTGCAGCTTGGATAAATGTAGTCATGGCAGAGAAAGTGAGAGGTGATTGGATATAGGGTATGTTTGGAAGGTAGGCCCATACACGGTGAGTGCATGGGGTATGAAAGAAGCCAGAGGGGATGATGGGAGAGTAGCTTTGCCTTTACAGAGATGCAGAGAAGTATAGGAGGATATGGTTTGGCTTGGAAGATCAAGAACTTAGTTTTGGCATATTGAGCCTATGTTGTTAACAAACTCTATGTTGTTATCCAGAGGCAAAGTGGGATTTAGGAGAAAGGTTACACTGGTGTTCTAAGTTTGCAAGTCATGAGCGCACAAATGTATGTAAGAGACTGAGACTGGAGGAGGAACTGATGAAGAGAGAAAAGACACTGGGCCCATTGAAGGACTGAGTTTGGGACACTCCGATCTTTAGAGCCAGGGATGAGGAGGAAGTTTCTTCAAAGAACACTGAGAAGTTGCCAGTGAGGCAGGAGGAGAGCAAGGAGAGTATAAAACATAATTTCAAGGAGGGAATGATAAGCTGCATCAGGTGCTGCTGACAAACAGAACTGAATGTGAACAGAGAAGTAACTCTTAGGATAAATTGTGTCCTGTGATGTCTCTTTTTTTTAATCTGGGAGCAACACTGAGATCAGAGATGGCCCAACTTTTCTGCAACCTCAGCCCCCAGCACAGGATAAGCAAATGCACAGGCCTCGAGCCAGAACTTCTAGTCTCGGCTGTCTGACTACCTTGTCCCTTCTTTCTGGCCATAATATATCTCTAGCCATACTCTGAAGGAAATGTCCTCAAAATCAGGGGTCAAAAGACTCTATAAAAGTCTGGGCTGGAAACTCAACTTGTGGATAAGGAAAAAAGAGGCCCAGAAGGAGCCTGGGATGGCAATTGGGCTGTTGACAGCATCATCATGTCGTCCTGTGGCAGGAAGGCACCCTCGGCGAGGATCCCAGTGTGCGGGGAGGATGCCCCGCCCATCTCAATTCTCTTTGGCAACTGCACGGTCTGGTGTCTCCCTTGGCAAGCCTAGTGTCACCCTTACACTTTTGCCGCATTCCCTGCCCACCCTTTCTGGCCTCCTCCAAAGTCTGCAGATGCGACCCCTTCCCATTTCCCTTAATGTGCCTTCAGCTGCTCCTCGTTGTTCTCTACACCTGCCTCAAGTGTCCATCACCTCCTTCCCCCTTGGCCTAGCACACCGTCACCCCCAGCCTGCCATGCTCTTCTCAGGCTCCAGCCCCCGCCAGAGTTGCTCACGGTGCACATATTCTCATTATCTGCTGACTCCCTCCTCAGAACCTTTAAACTTGCTTTATTATCTTCTCGATATAAAATAACAATACCAACTGGGAATCTGCGTCAACCGGACATCCACCTCCAGGTTCCACTCTATCGCTCTGCTTTCTCTCTCAGTGAAGCTTCTAGAAGGAGTCAGTTACATGCCGTATCTTTCTGTCACCTCCTACTCCTCGCTCCGTAGCCCTGTGAAACACGTTCTTTCCTCCCTCTCCTTGACACTGTTCTTGAAAAGATTGCCAGGGAGGCCCTTCTTACTCCCCCAGCGGCCCAGCCTGTTCCAGTTCTCCCTTGGGTGGGGACAAGGAAGGACCAGGGTCTCCAGGCTGCCCATACCTTTCTGACTTGGGTGGGGTGACTGGCCCCACCACTGCTCTCATCCTGAAGCTTCACCTTTCCTGAGAGTCCCTCCTCAGGGTCCTGGCAGCCCTTGTTCCGCCCCTCAGAGCTGTGTTCTTTGCCTTTTCTCTGCTCTCATGATATGGGGGTGGGCTCTCACCCCTCCCAGAGCCTCAACTCCCATGTAAGCACTGATGGTGCCCATGTTACCTCCACTCCACACCCCAGTGACTGCTGGGCCAGTCAGAGTTAGCTGCCAGGGCCTTGGGAACAGAGGGCACTGTGTGGACAGGTCTTTGACACTTTGGGGAGGTTAGTCGAGTCAGGACAGAGGCTACTTGGATGTGATGGAGGAAAGCAGGCATTATGGTTGACAATCAGGTTTCCTGCTTGAGTGACTGGGGGGAGGAAAGGCCCGTTTCAGAGGTGGGTAAATAGAAGAAGCCAATTTGCAGGTGACAGTGTCAAGCTGGCTTTGTATTGGGCTCGACGGTTGGAAGTCCCTCACAGGAGAAGGTGTCCAACAGGCAGGTGACATACAGTTGTGGGCATAGCAGAGGAGCCTGGGCTGGGAACCTGATTTGGGACTTGGTGGTGACTGGAGCCTGCGGACTGGATGAAGTTTCTCGGACAAGGTGTGGACCTGAGAACCACTGGTCTAACTGCCACATTGGAGGTCGCAGCCTGAGGGGTAAGATGTGATGAAAGGGAGGGTCTGTGGCGAGCAGCTGTGTGGGCAGCCAGGCAGAGTAGCAGCAGGGCTCCCAGGGTGGGGAAATGTGTTGGTGCCTGAATCTTAGGCATAGACGTGTAATGTGCCCCCCTCGGCTTCGACACCTTGTCCAGGAGGCAAGCCCTGAAACCAGTCAGTGCAAGTGGCCTTGGCTTTGTTTGCATTGCCTGCAAATTTCTGTCTCCATGGTCTGCTGCCTCCAGGGTACAAGCAGAGACTCAGAGATGCTGGTTCCTTTCCCTCAGGTGCCCTCATTAGCATCCTGGTGCCGTGTCCCACTGAGAGCACCAGGCAGCAACTCTGAGGCTGCTTGACGTGCCTGCCATCACCATGGTGACAGCTTTAGAAGCTCAGACAAGCTGAGAGGGGCAGGCTCTGCAGTAGACAATCTGGGGGTCATGCTGACCAGCCACAGCAGGGAAGGGCCGCCCAGTCCCTCCCGCCACAGCCTGTCTGACTGGCTAGAGAGGGCCATCACGGGACACAGTCTCCTATCTCTCGTCAAGATTGTCCTCACCCCCCCTTCTGCTTCTTGGTCCATTTTGCGCATACATCCCCCTCTGTCCAACTCTTAACTATCGGGGTTCTCCACAGCTCTGTCTTGGACCCTCACTCTGCCTCCTCTTCCCGTGATCCCACCCATCGTTGTTCTTAGCTCCCCACACCCAGCCCATCTCCCAGTCCCATCTGTACTTCTTCCTAAGTGGGTCTGCACACCGCCCTCTTGTCCTCGGCTGCTCCCTGCTGCTCCCTAACCCCGCCCCCCGCCATCCTCCCTCTAACCCAGGTTCCACAGAGCAGCCAGAGGGGTGTTTCTAGAACAGTGTTGCCCTTCTCTCCTTTCAGCCCTTTCAAGGCCCCACACAGCCAGAGAACAGTACTCCCTACCAAACTATCCAAACTAAAGCAAAAGAAACATGCCCAAACTGTCTCAGCCATCTTCCTATGCGGATGTTCGGCACGTGCTCGCTGCTCCCTACCCTGTGCTGTGCAGCATAGCTCTCGGGTCCTCCCCTGCTCAGACCACCTTAGAACTCCTGCTCCTTATGGGGAGGGGGAGGGAAGCTGCTCTAGGCCAGGGATGTACAATCTCCTCCCTCAGGCCGGGGGTGCAGACAGGGGCCGGTTTGGAGGTGCTCAGCTGCTTAAGGATGTGCCAGACGTCTGGACAACGGCTGGGATTTCTGTGTGTGCTGCTTTTTTTTTTAGCTTTGATAGTCCACATGAAAAAAAAATCACACTGGGGTAAAAGAAAAAACCTTACATTTTGTAATTCAGTACTGTCTCGGTTTTAAATTCTTTATCGGGGTGGTGGGAGCACTTAGAGCCTGGCACGTGGGCAGTGCTGAATCCTGGGGTGCTGAGGCTTGCCAGATGGCCCCAGGTTTTGGCCTGCCTTGCCCACTTGCAGCTCTCCTGCCCTCCATGACTGCCAGGTTCCTCTGTGACCTTCTTCTTGGTCCCCTCCCTGGCAGGTAAGGGTTCTGATCTTACATGGAGGATGACTGAAAAATCCAATGGTGTGAAGAGCTCCCCAGCCAATAACCACAACCATCATGCAGCCCCTGCCATTAAGGCCAATGGCAAAGATGAGCACAGGACCAGCAGCAGGTGAGACAACCAGGGCTGTGCGGTATTGGGGATGGCCTGGAGTCTGCTCCTTCCTCCCAGCTCTGCTTCTCATCAGAGAGCAAGTAGCCCTTGGTGCTGGGACAATCTCAATAAAAATTGTAGAATTTCCAGGCACAGGTCAGGAGGGAAGATAAGGGCTATCCAGAGACCCCTGGGTCAATTCTGCTCTTTTCTCTGCAGGCCACAGTCTGCAGCTGATGATGACACCTCCTCAGAACTGCAGAGACTGGCGGACATGGATGGCCCACAGCGAGGGAGGGGTGGCTTCCGCAGGTAGGGCCCCCTCTGTCCTAGTGCTCCCCCACTTCTGCCCATGAAGCCTTTCAGTCCCACTTAATCTTTCCTCTAAGACCTCCAGGGAGCGCCATCAGTGCTAGCCAAGGTTAACTCCTTCCTACTGATGCCTGAGCAACCCCTAAGACTCTTGGGGGGTGAGCTCATGGTGACCGGAGGAGGCTTCCCTACAGCCTGGCGGGAGACATCCTTCCCAGCAGAGGGGCCTAGGCACAGGGCCCGATGTCTCCATCTCAGAGTAGTAGGTTCCATGAGGGAAACAGGAAGCCTGGAGCAAGCTTCCTTCCTGGCCAGGGCTGCCTTCACACACTTGTATCTTGCCCTGAAGTTCTCTCCATCCTCAGCTGAGATGGCACCTCCTCCAGGAAGCCTTTCCAGGTCTACTGTGCCGCCTTGGGCTTCATTTGGAGTCATACGTGAACCCCTCTGCCCTCAGTGCTGGTCTCTTAGCACACAGGGAATTCTAGCCTTCCTGGCCTATCTCCAGCTTCCCCTGCCCACCTTCCAATTCCCTCAGAAGACTGTAAGTGCTTGGGGGACAGGTGGCCCCTTAGCAAGTGAGTCTCTTCTCTGGCTCATGCTCCTTCCCTCTTACCTCTAGGATTGCCCGCCTGGTGGGGGTCATCAGAGAGTGGGCCAACAAGAATTTTCGAGAAGAAGAACCTAGGCCTGACTCATTCCTTGAGCGTTTCCGTGGGCCTGAGCTCCAGACCGTGACGACACAGCAGGGAGATGCCAAAGGCGACAAGGATGGAGAGGGCAAGGGCACCAAGTACAGCTGTCCAGCCTGTGGAGTGAAAGGGCCCCCAAGTGTGCAGTGGGAGGGCTCATTGGAGTTTGTAGTGTCGCTGCCAGGATCTCCGGGCTATGCTAAGCCCTGCAGTGTTGGAGAAAGTGGTGGGCTGTGATGATCTGCTGTGTTTTCAACCCCAGCACATTTGTATTGCTCCTGTCACAGCCTCTCCAACAGCCAGCGGCCTACTTGCCATGGGAGCGTCCAGTGGCTTTTCTCATCTTAGCTGTTACTTGCCAGATGTCCTCTTGCTGCTCCTGGATGTGGCCCAGAGCCAGCAATCAGGGAATGCCAAAGGAGTGCACTGACAGAGTGATCTGGAGGGCATGTCCTTCCCAGCTCTCTCTGATATGGCAGAAGTGGGTCTTGAAGAGGTCATGTGGGTGGGGGTTGGGGTGCAGAGGGGACTGGGGGTCAAGGCTTAGATGACAGAGCAAGAGGGTACAGGGAGGTCAGAGAAGGCAGAGCTGGGAGTTTTTGAGGAATGCGTAGGCAACTGCTGATGGCTGGCCAAGCTGACGGTTCCCACCTCTGGCCAGTGGAAGAAGAGGGCCCTTGCCAAGGCAGGACTCAGCATGTGGGAAAGTAATTTGGAGGCTGGAGGCTAGGGAGCAGAAATGGAGTGTGGGGCAGGCAAGAAGCACATGGTGCTCACTTGTCTGGAGTTCCTGTCTCCGCAGGAGAAAGGTGGGAATAGGCCCAGGTCCTCACTACCACCCTATGGAAATCTCTCCTCGCCCCATCCCTGCTGAAAGCTCTCCCCCTGACTTGCCCTTTGAGCAAGGGGCCTCCAAAGTGCACAGGAGCTGATGGGTTATCTAGGTTCAGAATGGGCAGAGAGGTGTCCCTCACACATCTGGGCTCCACTCAGATGTCTGGCACCAGCTTGTGGGGCCCTGAACAATGGACCCCTAAGCCGGCACACCCTCACCTGACCCATCTCCTCAGGCAGTGCTTTCTCAGGGACCCCTGTCCTGTAGGGGACTGTGGTGCTGCTACACTGTGGAACCTGGTCCCCAAGCCTGGGCTCTGTCTGTCTCCTCAGGAAGAAATTTGAACTATTTGTTTTGGACCCAGCCGGGGACTGGTATTACCGCTGGCTGTTTGTCATTGCCATGCCTGTCCTCTACAACTGGTGCCTGCTGGTGGCCAGGTGAGCAAGGCCTGGGAGGGGGTGGCTAAAGCAGTCCAGTCCACAGGCCCTGGGGTTGAGAGCACAGCAGTTCCATCTGTGGACACTTTACCCCAACTCAGCCCTTCTTCCCTGGCTGCCAATGGCCCCTCTGCCTACCCTATTAGTGCCAACCCTGCCCCAATTTCATGTGCCACCAAGGCTTCCTGCCTATCCTATTCCTGGAATAGGTGAGGCCACCCTGTCTTCCCATACACATTCCTGGCAGACACTCTGTCTCTTCTGGTGCACCTTCCACACTTGCAATGAGCATATTTTCCACAAACTACTATTTGATCAGGCCACTTGCTCCTCATAAACCTTTCATGGCTCCCACTGTCCACAGGATGAAGTTTAAGCCCTGAGCATGGGCTTCAGGGTCCTCTGGACCTGGCTTTCTCTCTGGCTCCAACTTCTGCAAACACTCCAGCCCTAGCACTCACTGCTCTTGGATCAGAATGTGTTGTTTCCTTAAGAGAAAATCCCCTCACCAGTATCCAACCCATGGAGATTCTTCCTCTTGCAGGCTCAGTCCAAAAGGAGCTCTGCCAGGCAGTATGCCCACCCTACTCCATCCCCACCTCAGTCATCGCCAGTATTTGACTGAGCATCTGCTGGGTGCCGGGCCTATGTTCAGTGCTGGGGAGGGTATGCTGAGAAGGGTGCTGGGTGAGCCCTCTGAAAATAGGAGTAGGGTGGAGTTTGAGTATCAATGTGACCAAGTAGTCAGAATTAACAGCTCCTGCCTCTGCACACTCACTGCACCATCCTTGTCTCTGCCCTATCCCTAGGTCCCCGCTCAGTCACCATATCATGTCCATTCCTTCTAAGAAGCTCCTACAGCCTCCAACCTTGCCCATTCCCACCAATACCCTCCCTTTTGCCTGCACTGGCCAGTGTTGCATGTTGGGGGCTCAGTGGGCATGTGTCCAGAAGATGAGCATGGAAGACATTCAGCTGTGCCCTGTAGTTTGCTCTTCCAGTGACTTATTCATGCATTTAACTCATGCCCACTGTGCTGTTGCATCCTAGTGCCTTGGGCTAGGCATGAGGCAGGGGTAGTGACTAAGAGAAGGTCTCTGCCTTCCTGGAGCTCACAAGCCAGTGGGCAAGACACAAAAATAATGGTCAGTGATGATATCTGTGTAGCGATATCTATGTAGAAGTTCCTTGTCAGTGTGTCCTTGGCATTAGGCTGTCTGTGACTCCACAATGCCCCTGGTGGCCACCCTAAAGCTTGTACACAGTGGCCACTCAGTTTGGGACTTCCAAGAGACCTTGGCTGGTTCTGAGAGTGAAGCACAGCCCTGTCCTCCTGCAGAGCCTGTTTCAGTGATCTACAGAAAGGCTACTACCTGGTGTGGCTAGTGCTGGACTACTTCTCAGATGTGGTCTATATCACAGACCTCTTCATCCGACTGCGCACAGGTCAGTAAGCAGCAGGAGCTTAAAAGGAGTAGCATCATCCGTAAGTCCAAAAGCCTGAGTCCAAAGTTTTGGGAAGCCCACTGAACATAACTGCTTGGCTGAGACCCTGGTAGGTGGCTGCCCTTCTTTGAGCCTCAGAATCCCACATGCTAGAGAGCTTTGGACCTAGGGATGGCCTCTTACCATCCTTGTAGACAGTCCTGCTCTATGAGCTACCTGCCTCCTTGGAAAGGAAGGTTGCATGGGTAGTTTGGTCCTTGATGTGCATTAGTCTATAGAGCAGGACAGGTCTGAGGGCAGGGGTGATGTGCTGGCTTGTGTGTCTTCTAGGTTTCCTGGAGCAGGGATTGCTGGTCAAAGACCCCAAAAAACTACGGGACAACTATATCCATACCTTGCAGTTCAAACTGGATGTGGCTTCCATCATCCCCACAGACTTGATCTATTTTGCTGTGGGCATCCACAGCCCTGAGCTGCGTTTCAACCGCCTGCTACACTTTGCCCGCATGTTCGAGTTCTTTGACCGCACTGAGACACGCACCAGCTACCCCAACATCTTCCGCATCAGCAACCTAGTTCTCTATATCTTGGTCATTATCCACTGGAATGCCTGCATCTATTATGCCATCTCCAAGTCCATAGGCTTTGGGGTTGACACTTGGGTTTACCCCAACATCACTGACCCTGAATATGGCTATCTGGCTAGGGAATATGTCTACTGCCTTTACTGGTCCACATTGACCCTCACCACCATTGGGGAGACACCACCCCCTGTAAAGGATGAAGAGTACCTATTTGTCATCTTTGACTTCCTGATTGGTGTCCTCATCTTTGCCACCATTGTAGGAAATGTGGGTTCCATGATCTCTAACATGAATGCCACCAGGGCAGAGTTTCAAGCCAAGATTGATGCTGTCAAACACTACATGCAGTTCCGCAAGGTCAGCAAAGAGATGGAAGCCAAGGTCATTAAGTGGTTTGACTACTTGTGGACTAATAAGAAGACTGTGGATGAGCGGGAAGTTCTCAAGAATCTGCCAGCCAAGCTTAGGGCTGAGATAGCCATCAATGTCCACCTGTCCACACTGAAGAAAGTGCGCATCTTCCACGACTGTGAGGCTGGCCTGCTGGTGGAGCTTGTATTAAAGCTTCGTCCTCAGGTGTTTAGCCCTGGGGATTATATTTGCCGCAAAGGGGACATTGGCAAGGAGATGTACATAATTAAGGAGGGCAAGTTGGCAGTGGTGGCTGATGATGGTGTGACTCAATATGCCCTGCTCTCAGCTGGCAGCTGCTTTGGAGAGATCAGTATCCTTAACATTAAGGGCAGCAAAATGGGCAATCGACGCACGGCCAATATCCGTAGCCTGGGCTACTCAGACCTCTTCTGCTTGTCCAAGGATGATCTTATGGAAGCTGTGACTGAGTACCCAGATGCCAAGAAGGTCTTGGAAGAGAGGGGTCGGGAGATCCTAATGAAGGAGGGGCTGCTGGATGAGAATGAGGTGGCAACCAGCATGGAAGTGGATGTGCAGGAAAAGCTGGAGCAGCTGGAGACCAACATGGAAACCTTGTACACTCGCTTTGGCCGCCTGCTGGCTGAGTACACGGGAGCCCAGCAGAAGCTCAAGCAGCGTATCACAGTCCTGGAGACCAAGATGAAGCAGAACAATGAGGATGACTACCTGTCAGATGGGATGAACAGCCCTGAGCCAGAAGCTGAGGAGAAGCCATGAGAGCTGGGGCCCAACTGCCTCCCCAGTCTTGGCCTTTACTCTCAGAACTAGAAGAGTCATGTAGATTTCCATTTTTCTGTGCATTACACTCATGGCCCCTGAATTCTCCTGAACACTCTTAGATCACAAGTTTTTGGCCTAAACATCCAGGAGTTCCTCTCCAAGTCTAGCTAAAAGCCAAGCACATGGGTAGTGCAGACTGTGTTGGCTGGCTTCAGCCTGTCCAAGTCTGAGGAAGGAAGAGGGGATCTGCTGAACTGCCTTTGGTCTGTCCTGAGCCTGGAGGCCTGAACAACGATCTGCTCTGAAGCCCATCTGTAGGACTGTGTGCACCTTGCTGCAACGCTCCCCGCTCCCCGCCTCCATGCACCTTGCCAGTTCCTGCTTGATTCTGGCCCCTACTTTATCTAGCATGTGTTCTGAGCCCCTGTCCCCTTTCTGTGCACATACAGGTAATTTGGGCACTGGCTGCAGACATGTAGACCAGGTACTCAGTGTTTGTCTCCCAAGACAGGCTAAGATGTGTGATGGTGCAGGAGGTGGGTAGGAGGGTGCCCACTCAGAACTGTTCTTCTGTGTCAGACACTCCACCTTCTGCTCTGTTGATTGGTCTGTCTGCCTGCTAGCCAGGAAAAGGGGTCTCAGAAGTCTCCTCTGGGAGATGATGATGCTCCCAGCTTCTGGTCTATTCTGGGACAGGGAGTGAGGAGCCAGGCAACTAGCAATCTACCTAGAGAAAGAGGCAACCTGCAGCTCTGGCCATCACTCCTCTAGGCAGAGCGTTTCCCAAGAGATTCTGAAGGCTGGTGGTGGGCGGGAGACTCTTCCAGTTAATGTAGGCATTAGAGACATCTACATGTTAATAAATTCCTTTGAACTGTCTGTGTTTAGTCTGTGTGCAACTCTGCTCCTCACATTCTCTCCCTCCCTCCATTAATTCCTTTCTCTTCCCTGTACATTTGTCCCTTGGTGTCTATAGGGGAATGGCTCCAGGACCCCCCATGGATACCAAAATCTGTGGCTGCTTGAGTCTCTCTGATCTAAGATAGCATCGTGTTTGTATCTAATTGGTGCACACCCGCCTATGTATCTTTAGTCATCTCTAGATCATATATAGTACCTAATACAATGTGAGTGCTATGTAAACAGTTGTTACGCTGTGTTGCCTTTTATTTGTATTAGATTTTGTTTTTGTATTATTTTTTATTTTTTCTGAATGTTTTCATGCTGCAGTTGATCGAACCTGAGGATGTGAGACCTGAGGATATTGAAGGCTTACTTCACATGCAGGTATACAAACATCTCTCTGAGACCTTGTTTTCAACTGCTTAGGTAAATACCCAGAAGTGAAATTTCTGGATCATATGGTAGTTCTATTTTTACATTTCTGAGGAATCTCCAGAGTGCTTTCCACAGTGGCTGCACCAATTTCCATTCCCAGCAACAATGCACAAGGGGTCCAGTTTCTTCACATCCTTAAAAACACTTTTTTTCCCCTGGCTTTTGTTTCCCCACACTCACATTCAGAAATCTTTCCATGTGAAATACACTCTATCATCTCCCCAGCCTGCCCAAGTCCTGCAGGCTTCAGGATTTAGCTCAGGCAGAGAAGGCCCCCTTGACTGTAACTGTTCCCCCACAGAGAGTCAGTCACACCATCTTCTCTAGGTTCCCACAGTGCTCATGAGCCTCTGTCCCAGCCCTTCCTCTGTGTGGTCAGTTTTGATCAATTGTATTTCCCCTCAGATCAAGGCCAAGACAGTCTCCATCTCTGGTCTGTTTGCAGCCTCAGTCTGGCACACAGGGAGCATTTAGAGAATGTTTTTTCATTGTGGACATGCGTGAGCACATGAATGAATAAATGAATGGGTGAGTGAACAAGCAGAACTGACCAAGATGCCATGCTGCCACCTGCCAGCAGTGGGGTCTTGACAGAAACATCGGCTCTGCCTGGAGTACTGGGAACTATGTCCTGGGCGCATGAACAGGTGTTACAAGATGACCAGAAGTCTGAAAGGCAATTAGTGGGCAAGAGAATCTAGTTGCAGACTCAGACACCTTCCTGTGTGCCATTTAATTATTGATTGTGGTAAAATATATGTAATATTTACCATTGTAACCATTTTTAAAATATCTTAATGAGTTTTTAAAAATTTTTTTTATTTCAGGTTAATGTGAGAGTATAAACAACTAGGTCACGATATTTGAATTTGTTAGGTACAGTCCTCTTGTAGTTGTGTCCTACACCCAAAAGGTGTGCCATACACCCCTACATTGTACCCCACTTAGTGGAAGCACCTCAACTCTCCCCTTGTCCCCTTCCTCATGGCCCCTACCCCCAACTTAGATTGAAATGAGTTTCTCTCCTATGTGGGCATGAAGTAGATCGTCTGTTGGCTTCAGATTAGTATTGAGTACGTTGTATATTTGCTTTTCCATTCTTGTGATAACTGTACTGAGAAGAATGTGTTTCAGTTCCATCCAGGTTAACACAAAGGATGTAAAATCTCCGTCTTTTTATGGCCAAATAGTATTCCATGGCATACATACACCACAATTCGTTAATCCATTCCTGAGTTGATGGGCATGTAGGTTGTTTCCACATCTTGGTGACTGTAAATGGAACTGTGAGAAATAATCCAGTGCAAATGTCTTTATGATAAAAGGATTTTTTTCTTCTAAGTAGATGCATAGTAGTGGGATTGTGGGGTCGAATGGAAGATCTAATCTGGTGGGACTGCAAACTAATATAGCCTCTTTGGAAAGAAGTATGGAGAATCCTTAAAGAACCATTGTAACCATTTTAAGTGTACAGTTCAGTGGTGTTAAGTATGTTCACGTTGTTCTGAGACCAATCTTTGGAATTTTTTTCATCTTGTAAAATGAAAACTGTCCTCATTGAAAAACTCTCCACCCCTCCCTCCCCTGGCTCCTAGAAACCACCATTCGACTTTCTATGCCTATGAATTTGACAGTGTAGGTACCTTCTGGGATCATACAGTATTTGTCCTCACTATCAGATTTAGCACAGCATCTTCAAGACTTATTCCTGTTGTATCATATGTCAGAATTTCCTTCATTTTTTGAGGCCAAATAGTGCTCTATTGTGTGGATAAACCATGTTTTACTTATCCATCCATCTGAACACTTGGGTTATTTCTACCATTCGGCAGTTGTGAATGTTTTTGCTATAAATGGAAGTGCAAACATCTCTTTGAGACCCTGTTTTCATTTCCTTTGGATGTATACCCAGTAGTGGAACTGAGGGATCATAGGGCAGTTCTATTTTTATTTATTTTAAATAAAAATAAATAAAAATTTATTTTTTTGTTGGGGATTCATTGAGGGTACAAGAAACCAGGTTACACTGATTGCATTTGTTAGGTAAAGGCCCTCTTACAATGGTGCCTTACCCCCAAAAGGTGTGTCACACACCAAGACCCCACCCCCTTCCCTCCTTCCCTCTCTTGGCTCTCCCCTTCCCCCACCCCACAGTGTCAATTGTCCTCATATCAAAATTAAATACATAGGATTCTTGCTTCTTCATTCTTGTGATGCTTTACTAAGAATTATGTGTTCCACTTCCATCCATGTTAATACAAAGGCTGTAAAATCTCCATTTTTAATGGCTGAATAGTATTCCATGGTATACATATACCACAGCTTGTTAATCCATTTCTGGGTTGGTGGGCATTTAGGCTGTTTCCACATTTTGATGATTGTAAATTGAGCAGCAATAAACAGTCTAAGGCAAGTGTCCTTATGATAAAAGGATTTTTTCCCTTCTGGGTAGATGCTCAGTAATGGGATTGCAGGATCAAATGGGAGGTCTAGCTTGAGTTCTTTGAGGTTTCTCCACACTTCCTTCCAAAAAGGTCATATTAGTTTGCAGTCCCACCAGCAGTGTAAAAAAAGTGTTCCCTTCTCTCCACATCCACACCAGCATCTACAATTTTGAGATTTTGTGATGTGGGCCATTCTCACTGGGGTAGATGGAGTCTCAGAGTGGTTTTGATTTGCATTTCTCTAATAATTAGCATAATAATTAGGGATGATGAGCATTTTTTCATGTTTGCTTACCATTCGTCTGTCTTCTTTAGAGAAGGTTCTGTTCATGTCTCTTGCCCATTGACTTATGGGATTGTTGGCTTTTTCATGTGAATTACTTTGAGTTCTCTCTAGATCCTAGTTATCAAGCTTTTGTCTGATTCAAAATATGCAAAATATCTTTCTTATTCTGCAGGTTGTCTATTTGCTTTGGTGGTTGTCTCTTTAGCTGTACAGAAGCTTTTCAGTCTAATTAAGTCCCACTTGTTTATTTTTGTTGTCACAATTGCCACATCAGTCTTCATAAAGTCTTTCCCCAGGCTGATATTTTCCAGTGTTTTTCCTCTGCTTTCTTTGAGGATTGTTATCATTTCACGCCTTAAGTATAAGTCCCTTTATCCATCTCGAATCAATTTTTGTGCATGGAGAAAGGTGCAGGTCCAGTTTTAGTCTTTTATATGTGGATAGTTCTATTTTTAATTTTTTGAGGAACACTGTTCTGTCTTCCACAGGACAACACCAATGTACATTCCTACCAATAGTGCACAAGGGTTCTAATTTCTCCATGTCCTCACCAACACTTGTTATTTTCTGTTTTTGCATAGTAGCCATCCTAAGTAGTGTGAAGTGGTATTTTTATTGTAGTTTTGATTTGCATTTATCTAATGAGTTATGATTTTGAGTGTAGTTTCACATGTTCATTGGACATTTGTTTATCTTTTATAGAGAAATGTTTATTCTAATCATGTTGGTCATTTTCTAAACATGTTGCTAAGTTGTAGAAGTTCTTTATATATTTTAGAATATTAACCCTTTATCATCTATGATTTAAAAATATTTTCTTCCTTTCCCTAGGTTGACTTCTCACTCTGTTCCTTGGCCCTTTTGATGTGAGTTTTTAATTTTGTTGTCATCCAGTTTATTTATTTTTGTTACCTGTGCCTTTGGTACTACCATTCATTTTTATATGAATTTATTCTTCTAGCCAGATTTCTTTTAAATTTAGTGTAATTCTTCAGCCTCTTCTCCAGCTTAAAATAATAAATCACAGCCAGGGGAAGACTTATCTGGAGACATATGTAATATTACCCAGGTCCCTGAGAGTGGCAGCAGTAGGGAGATGGCATTCATGAGGGGACAGTGCTTTGTGTATACTCCCCCTTTGGGCATTGGGCTGCAATAAAAGGCTCCAAGTACCTCCAGCCAAC